TTGGCATCGGAAAATTGATGAAAAAATAGACAGAGAAAAGCTGATTTACGTGCTCCCAAAGTCCAGGCATTCCCTATTTCAGAGTCGCGCCCGGCGTTTAATTTTGTTAGGGTAAATGTCGAATACTCAAACCTAATTTATTCTTGAATTCACTGGGAATTGACAAATGAATGTCAGTACGATGTGCAAATCTTCACGTATAATTTTGTCCTTAGTAAGCTAAGCTGAATTGATTATGTTAGGCAGAGCAGGGCACTGCACAGATAACACACGATAATGAGGAATGACAACGAAAGTTGCGCCGTTAAGTGTGAAAATAATTAGGTATGTGTGCCTACCAGAGCTGGGCAGGGCTAGTTAGAAATGTAGCGGCGCTACCGCTACCGCTACATGCTCGAAATGTAGCGGGCGCTACCGCTACCGCTACAGTAAAATGTAGCGCCGCTACAATGGCCAAAATTATTGGAAATCTCTAAATATTTATTGTTCTGCTATTGGGATTTACTCATATACATTCAATGATAATAAAACATTTTCAAAACATATCAATGCGACTTTATTGCAATTAACCTAACCGAACTAGTACGGGTTAGATACAGTAAATAAAAGTTAGTTAGTTTTATGTTTTACCTTCCTACATGGATGTCTACTTTAATCTAACAATCTCAAAAATTATCCACATATACATATAAAAAATCTGTCTTATTTGTATATATATGTGGATAATTTTTAAGATTGGTTGATTAAAGTAGACATCCATGTAGGGAAGGTGAAGGATAAAAATAATTGTGTAAAAATAACTGTAAGCAAACTGAAACATGAAAAAATACCTGTAAATAGTAACTGGTAACAACTTAACAAGTAACAACTAACATGTTGACACTATAGTAACAGGCTGAGGCGGCGCTACCGCTAAATATGTAGCGGGCGCTACCGCTACCGCTACATTGCCTTAAATGTAGCGCCGCTACCGCTACTGAAAATGTAGCGCCGCTAGTAGCGGCCGCTACATATGTAGCGTGCTACTGCCCACCTCTGTTGCCTACCATATATTTCTATATCAACACGTTGAATCCGAAGTTGTACATATGCGTACCACGAAATGTATTTCTCCAAGACGTTGTGATACATGATTATTCATAATAGTACTAAAAATGAGATAATTGTACAAGATGAAGCAATCGGAGTCAACGTGTTGAGTAAATTTTTGCTATGAACTTGACCTATCGCATTATTGATGACTTGAAGTTAGTGTTTCATACAGAATGTTCGGTTGATATCTTAGATCGAGTAAATGATGCAGTTGCTGATACAACCCTGAGGAGGAAAATGCTTGTACAATGTATACTAAGAACGTCAGGAAGTATTTGGAAATTGGTTTTATTATCAAATTACTGGAACAAGAAAGTTGGACGAATCTAAATAACTGTGTGTCAGTGCTTACAAATGAAAAGAAAATCGTTTATGAGCAATTACTGAAACGTGATAATTGAAATGAGATCTTCAATACCTGTCTCTTATACACATCTAGATGTGTATAAGAGACAGGAACTCACTACGGTACGGAAACCGGATTTACTTTTGGTTCGAGATCTACAAATTTAAATTCCATGTAAAATTGAACTTTTGAATTAATGCTATTTTTATTGCTGCGGCACCGTTTAAATTGTAGAGTTCCAGAAAGAAGAAGAGAAATGAAGATATGCTTGCAATTTGCCACAACAAATAATGGCATTGAAATTGAAAATAATAATGGCCACGCGCTTGATGTCGGTAGTGGAGAATCTTAATACCCTAACAAAATTTGGGGTACGCTTCAGCCTTCGTGGC